TTCGCCGCGGAGCGTGCACGGCGCATAATGGCACGACACGCGCATGCAGAGGAGGAAGACGCGGCCGAACGATAATTTAATGGCTCGTCGACGAGGATCGCTCGCGTCTCTCCCTCTTTCTCGATTTACGGCGGCGCCCCGGGCGGCCCTTCGAATGTGTAATTCAATTACAGCCAAGTCGGAGTTCTCCGCAGTCGAGAGGAGCAGCTTTACGAGACGGGTGTACGCGGGGTGGCCTTTGAGCCGCGACCGGTATCGGGTCTGCCGAGCGCGATTCACGCTGTTGTTTCCGCGGACGCCTGCGCGTCGCCCGTTCGACCCGAAACGACCCGAAACGACCCGAAACGACCCGAAACGACCCGAAACGACCCGAAACGACCCGAAACGACCCTCTCGCTCGGCACTCGGCGCCCCGCACGCCTGCGCGCGATAACGGCTCTTGGCTCGTTTCCATAATAGTTGTCGCGTGTTGCGCCGCCAGAAGTGCATCGTAGCGCGGAGCGAGGCGAGGCTGCCGTGCAGCCCCTAGGCCCGAAACAACGGTACGATCCGAACGGTCGCGCGCGACCTTTGCTCCGCGGCCTAGCTGCGGGCCACGCGGCGGTGCTCGTCGATGGCACTGCTGGCAGCGCGCCGACGCGTGTGCGCTGTTGATAATGCGCGGAGGATCGCCCGGGGGCAGCTCAGGTGGATAGAAAAGTGGGCTTTATCGAGCACAACGGAGTACGCTCCAAATAACACTTGCCAAGTGGTAATGGCTTCGGCCCCAGGTGCGCGTGTTGGCTCAGCTGCGACTACGCTTTATGCTCGACGCTGATGAAAGACGCTCGCTTTCGCTGCCTTTTTTACGCCAACTTCAAAACTGATAAAACACATGGAGTCTCGCCAGCAAATTTAACAAACCAACATCACAATAATTCAAGTTCCACTGGAATCGTATTCTTTCGGGCGTTCGTGACTTGTAATTGTGGTTGATTTTGCTGCCGCCTACATTGTTCAATTTTTCCAATGCCATTGTAAAGTCGAATATCTGTTTAGCGAATTTAGTTGGTGTAGTAGTTTTTTTGCAACCTACAGAACTGAGTGAGGTAACCTTATCGATTCACTCACACACGCATTTCTTTAATCCATTCAGGAATTGAACGAAGATGCGCAAGAAAAATTCATTGATTGTACTTCTGCGACTTGTTATGCGACATACGACTACTATTTTTGAATAAGCACTCACATGAAGCTGTTCAACCCTTGATATTTCGTGTTAATATAATTGGAAATTAGCAAGACAGCATTGATATTGTCGACACAATTCACAATACATCTCATGTTACTGCTGAACCGAGGATGTTGCAATATGCAAATCACATTCTTTTCTTTAATGGCGAAAGTAGCTATGTTCTAGTTAAAGTGAATTATTTCAGCTTTTTCTTTCAAAAAGGTTTGCCATGGAAACATTAGATAAGGTTTCGTAACTAATGACCGAATCCAGCATCAAGTAACCTAGTAAATTATGAGAATCTATAAAAACGATGATTTAAACTGTACATTTAAGCAGAATGTAGATCGAAAAAATTTATAGATTGTCGAAATACTCGACCTGAACAAGTATAATTTTTATTCGAAAAATGCTTTGATAAAAATTACTCAAATAAAACTAAGGACTCGCAAGTATTTATTATGCATTACGAGGTGAGAAGAGTGTACATAAATCTTTAGATTAAACGGACATATTCAAACAATATGGAGCGAAAGGTGAGTGTAGATTGAAAGACACATGCGGAAAACGATCGATGAAATTTGCCAGTCATAAAAGGAAAGGTAGAATCGCACCGTGTGAATCGATTTCTATATAGTACGGATAGCTGCGCAAGAAGCAGAGTAAAGTCGCCTAACGACTTTTGGGCAATCGCTTGTTATTCCAACGATCCTCCGGCCAGCCGATCCTTCACCCGCATGATTTGCCGGGAGTGGCATGAATTTCCAAGTTCCATGAAGCAGCAAACTGGCGAGAGAAGGATGTATATACACACACATATATATATATATATATATATATATATATAGAGAGAGAGAGAGAGAGAGAGAGAGAGAGAGAGAGAGAGAGAGAGAGAGAGAGAGCGAGTAGCGAGTAAAGGGAGCAATGAATCAGTCGTGCAAATATGCATAACACACGCATAACAAGTGTGCGCTCTCTTCGTCCGGCGAACAAGTGCCTTGCGCGCGCGCGCTCTCCTCTCTGCCGGTCCATGTAGCCAGTCTAACAAGCCTAATCCATCAACAGGTGCAGGCGTGTAACCGCAACGAGCTGGCAAACTGCGCGCATCAGCAGCCTGATATATAAATCCGTATTTCCCTTGCTCTCGCTCTCGTGCGTGCCTGCGCGCTGAGAAAATAGTCGGCCGCACGAAATCCTCCTGAGTTTGGAGTGCATAACTCAGCCCTGCTGATTCATACCTTCAAATCGTGACGTTTCCCCGGCTCGCGGACGACGACGACGACGACGACGACGACGACGACGACGACAACGAATGTATCCCGCAAGTAAGGTACAGTGAGCGAAGAGCCGTGCGCGCATATGCGGGAATGTTAGATAAGCTGGCTTTTCAACGTTACGCAAGAGACGTGGCAGCGAGAGAGGGTTACTATGTGGCTCTCCCGCGGGACGAGCAGCGCGTTGCGCAACCTACGCCACATGCACTACCCACGAATATTCCGCCCGTGCTGCAGCGGAGCTGCCTCCCTGGAAAATCCGCTTGTCCGTGTCTCGGGACTTTTCGCATCTGCCGCCGCCACCACCGTCCGCTCGCGATCCGTCGAGTAATCGTTGCGCTTGCGCGCCCTTCGTCGGTCGCTTTTCGACGCGGCCTCGCCTAAGCCGCTCGGGACTCGAAAACGCCGAGTCGTCCGTTCGAGTGCAATCGTCGCGTTCCCACGCGCGCGACTCGCCGCCGATATCGAGAGCGCCGATTGCGTCTCGTTACCCCCCGATCCTTGTACGGACGGATGAGGCCTCTCGCGATCTTTGGCGTCGCGCGCGATCGGCGCCGACGTAGCTCCAAAGGACAGGCTTCCGACCTCGTCCGTTCCAAAACGCGCGGATGCCTACGCGCCGACGATCCCAAATGGCCTGCTATCGATCTAATTGACGGGATCATCTGCGATTCAATCGACGCTGTTCTTGCCGATCGATCGACGGAAAAAAGGAAGAACAACGAGGCGGCAGCTCACCTCGCGCGCACCTAACCGTACATTCGACGGAAATTCAAATTTCCCGATGGAAGTGCAAGTACACACTGCGCGCGTGTAATGGCACGGTGCGCACGACGAGGCGGATCGCGAGCAATTTTACATCGCACCGAGCTGCGTGAAAAAAGAAAGGAAAAAAAAAATGAGAGAGGATATCTGCGGCTAATCGTCACTTTCCGGCGGTTCTTTTATTCGCCCGCCGTTCGCCGCGAGACGCGCAACAATGCAGACAGCCTCGACGGCAATTAACATGCGTAGGCGGCGTACTCTTTATCGGGGGAGGGAGGGGGACGCTTCGAACGGAGTCGGGCTCGCGGAGAAGACGAGAGAGAGAGAGAGAGAGAGAGAGAGAGAGATAGGCAGGCCGTAGGAGACCGATCGATAGTACGCGTGTGAGCAGTCCGGGCACGCATACCGATGCCGTTATGAGAGCGAAGCACAGTGCGCACCGAGGAAGCTGCATCGGTGGCCTATCACCGAGGGTCGGTTCGCTCGACTTTTATTATGCCTTGGATTAGGACTTCCTACGCGGTAGCGGCTACGCTCGAGCGACCGTCGTCCGCGAGCGAGGAATTTCGGAATGAACCTGTGAGCCGCTCGAACTTGACTCGCTCTCTCTCTCTCTCTCGCTCTCGCTGGCGTACGTAAGTGCTTGTGCACCGGTCGTACAAGTACACGCTGTAAGAGTTGATGAACGGCTTTTTCCTCGCTCGCTCGCCTGCGTCCTTCTCTCCTCGGGCGCAAGAAGTAGCCTCAATTTCCCTGCCTGTTGATTAGCTGGAATTGAGGCGAGTCTCTGCCTCTCGCGCGGCCGTGTCGCCAAAAAGACGAGGCAAGCGGGGGAGGCGGAGGGAGAAAAACCAAGTCCAAAGGGTCGCCGATATCTCGAATTCAGCCGGGAGAGCGTACGGGCTATCTGTGGCGGGGCAGCATCGCGATAAGCCGCGATGTCACGACAGGGACTCACTCACTTTCGCCATTAGAGCAGGGAGGGAGGCCCGCGGCCGCGGCCGGCTGATAAAGCGAAAAACAACGCGGGAGTCCACGAGAGAAGAGGCAGGCAAAAAAAGGCTGCGGTGGTGGTTGCATTGTTACACACTGTTGGCCGCCACGACTCGCGCGCTCGATCGCGCAGGGTCAAGTCAAAGCAAAGTTAAGCGCAGCGCGAGAGGAAGTAGTGAAAGGGCTGGCTGGTTCGATCGTCAGCCACGAAATTGCGTGGGCGTGTACAGCAGCAGCAGCGGCAGCAGCGGCAGCTGCAGCAGCAGCCACGCATCTCTCACGCACAAAGCCACCTTTTTCTCTCCCCCTCTCTCCTCGCCTAGTGTTGTAAGCTACGGGATGGGCATACATTCGAGAGAGAGAGAGAGAGAGAGAGAGAGAGCGTGCGCGCGCGAGAGGTGCATCGAACGAAGAAGGCTGAAGGCAAAAAAGACCACGACGACGACGACGACGAAGAAGAGGAGAAGAGGCGGAGGAGGCAGCTAGCGAGAGCGCGGGCACGTCCACCTACTACACAGCCGCCACATATATACACGAGAGAGAGAGAGAGAGTGAGAGAGTTGCGCGCGAAGGGAGCCGAAGCGCACCGAGAGGGCGCACCACCACCGCGGCGCGGCACCACCACCACCACCACCAGCGGCGCACTGCCGCCACCACCGCTCGGCCCGCTCGGCGCGCACGATCGCACTCGGTACACCGGCCGCGCCAGAGTCGGCAGAGCAGTCAGTATCGCGTCAGTCCTCGCCGCGGCCGCTCGCTCGCCCACTTGGCTCGCGCAGTCGTCCGCTTCCGTACGGCAATCACCTGCGCGCCCAGTCACGACCGCTGGCTCTCTCCTCTCTGCGCCCCGACACCTCTACGGTGCGCTATGCTTGCGCGCGCGCCTGGTGGCAGACCTCGCGGTTGAAGAACTCCATCCGACACCTGCTCGCGACAAACAGTGTGCGCCACATAGTGCTCGGAGTTGTTTCACGTGTATTCAGTGTCGCTGGACGCTTACCGGTCAGCCTCATACGATACGAGGACCAGCCGACGTCGACTCTGGTAAGTGCTTGCTACGCTCTTTGGTTCTCTCGCTCGAGCTTTCGCATAAACGGAGAGAGGAAGAGACGGACAGACCGAGCCCTTCGCGAGCCGAGCGTCAATGTTTTTTTATTTTTTATTTTTATGGACGCAGTGAGCGCGCGCGCGCGAGAGAGAGAGAGAGAGAGAGAGAGAGAGAGAGAGGACGACTGACTGATTTGGCGAACGACCGGTTTCAGAACGCGAGAGCGCTTTTCAAGTTCACTGCTGCACGCCGGTTATTTATCGAGACTCGAGATTTATGGCTCAATCGGCGTTTCTTTTTCGTGCAGTTTCGCAAAAATGAAAAGACCGTCGTGCGGAAAAAAGGGGAGGGTGATCGAGTTTCGAAAAGTCGAGAAGAAAAGCAAATAAAGCGCGCGGAGAGGCGCTTTTGCGGCCTTATCTAAAACTCGGTCGTTCACCGGTTTCTCTCTCTCTCTTGCTCGCTAACTGGCAGTCTCCCTCGACTAGCGCTGGCAGAAGGCTTTTTTTTGTTATCTCTCGGGCTGGCGATATTACGCGCGCAAATACACAGCCACGTTACGGCGCATTTTGTGGCAGTGGCTGGCTTTTGTCGTGGCGTTAAAAGTCCGCGGCTGCAGGCTGCATAGAGGAGCGAATCGGGCGTTGAGAGAGCGAGAGAGCGACCGGATCCTGGTTGTGCAGCGGCGCGAGCGAGCGAGAGAGCGAGAGAGCGAGCAAGCGAGAGCGCTCACATTTTTCACGAACGAAACTGGTTACAGAGTAGAATTCTAATAAAGCGCCCCGCACTCGCCCCGGAGCTCCGCTAGACCAATCCTATAGTAGTTCCATCGTCTCTCGCTCCCTTTGCCTCTGCGCGTCTGTCCATCGCCTGCGAAGCCGCAACTTTTGGGACGCACGTTTTGTGCGCGCGCCCGCGCGTAGCCGGCCGCTCTACCTACGTAGAAGCGCGATGTGCGTTGACCCCGCGACATTGAGCGAGCCAACAGACGAAGGAGTAGTCGAATTCCAAAAATCTGGCAATGTATCTGTCTCTCGTTCTGGCTTCATTCCGAGTACGATATTTTCGAGCTCCCTTTGCCTCCTTTTTTCCTCCTTTTTTCCTCCTTTTTTCCTCCTTTTTTCCTCCTTTTTTTCGTCGCTCTCGGCTGTTGCTGCCGGTATTTAGGCCAGCCACGAAAAGTACAGCCTGTCAAAAAGCGTTTCTCGTTTCCGACGAAACGCGCATCCGTGATTATAGACCCTCGCCCGAGAGAATTGAAAAAGGGCGCGCACGCGAATCCGATGATGATTGCTCGTGAATTTTCGGATGACCGAGCGCGAGCATGCCTGCGTGCGTGCGTCGCCCGGCAGGCCGAACACACGAGGGAGTGCCGGGCATTGGCCATTCAAAGGCACTTCATCGTGTGTAAATCCTTGAACTTGGGATCGGCATTTTTTTTAGACTCGGCTGGCCGCGACCGATCGCGCTGAAATCAACGTCAAGGTAAGCCGAACGATCGCCTTCGCCGAAGAGCGCCCGGCCGAGCAGTTGTCGTCGCGACCGATAGCTTGCATAACGTTCCTACGCAGAAATCGCGACGTCGCCAGTGTCCTTCGTTCGAATTCCGTGAATCATCGCAGAGCGAGATCTGTAAATCGATGTGCCGTTAGTCCCGTCCCCCCTCTTGGCCCCCGAAATCACGCGTAAGCGGGCAGGTGGCCCGAGGTCGTTTTCCGTTTATTGCGCTCCCGACCGATCGAAAATACGCGGTTTGGCCGTAGTCAGCCAGACTCCGAAAGACAAAAAAAGAAAAACAAAGGCAGAAAAATGCATCGGGATGCATGCACGCTCTTCATTGTCGTGGTCACTGATGGCGAGGTGCATTTTCGAAACTCTAAAAGGGATGATAAATAGCTACGTACAGGCTAGGGTTTCTCTCGTCGAATGCCCACGAGCATGAATCATCCCGCTCTCGGTGAATTCCAAGTGGTTGCATTATGCCAGATGAATTTCTGCACGAAACATAAATATCTCTCTCTCTCTCTCTCTCTCTCTGCTCGGATATACATTTGATTTTCTCTTTTGCCCCTTGCCAACCAATAACTATCGAATTTCGTTACATCTACTCGCGCGCGCGAGCTTCTGATATGCGCGCCTTTCGCAAAAAACGGCTTATTAATTAGCGAACTCGTACTCGACGCCGGCTCTCCTATCAATTATCTCCTCTAGCGCGAGAGAAACAAAAAACGCCGAGCGGCAGAGTAAAAAATAGCACGAGGAGGGCAGGAGTTACGAGCTGTTAAGGGGAATGGAAAAAAAAGTGGGATTCTAGGTGTTGTTGTGTAAACAGGTGCGTTTTAATTACCAAGGGAGGCTATTATGGCTGCGTGATTGTTGCGCTCTCGGTATACAGCTGCCGCGATTCCGACTGATCATCGAGGCCGTTCGTTGCCTCTCTCTCGCTCTCTCGCAGTCCGACGTGCTTTTTTCTGCATTCGCTACACATTGATTCGCACCGGCAATTTTCGTAATTCGGATTAATTAAAATTGTTTTATAATCCTAGCTCGGACGGCAATGAACATATCGTATATAATATCGGCTCGCAAGACTATTAAAGTCGGGCTTTTACGGCCGGCAGATTGATACCTCGCGAGCGAAAATTTGACAAAGAAACTGCGAATGCAGCAGCAAGCGGCGGTTAATTGGGCGCGGCACGCTCGAACGTTCAGAGCCGCTCTCGGTGTCAAATATCCCCCCCCCCCCCTTGCGGAGTAATGGTTCCGCGCGAGCTACATTGTAAAATACGCCAGTTGCGTAATTTTTTCGCTGTGCACTACTGGAAATTACTGATAGCAATGCGATCTCCAGGGTGATTAGCCAACTACAAGCGTTCCGCAATTACACAATTGGTTCGGCGTAATTTATGCACTTTCGTCAGTTGACAAAGACATATCGATAACACAGGCACAGAGTCTATGTGTGCACGTGATTAGATCGACTATTTATCCTTTTCACTTTCGTACGAAGCTCGGCGAGCCGAGAGCTGCGCTGGCTCGGGCTGATCGTGCACTCTCTCGGGGAGAGAGAGAGAGAGAGAGAGAGAGAGAGAGAGAGAGAGAGAGAGAGAGAGAGAGAGAGAGGCAGAGCCGTAAAAACAAAGCGCTCGGCGAGGCGCTGCAGAGACAACGAGCAAACAAAACGGACGTTGCAAGCCAGCTCGCTCGCTCGAGAGGCTACGCTCCAAGTTCAAGGCTGTTCGTCCGTTCGCGGATGTGTGTACGTGCGATACCCTGAGCTCGCTCTCTCTCTCTCTCTCTCTTCGCTCCATCGTACACTCTGCTCACCAAGAGAGAAGAGAAGAGAGAGAGAGAGAGAGAGAGAGAGAGAGAGAGAGAGAGAGAGAGAGAGAGAGAGAGAGAGAGAGAGAGAGGGAGAGAGAGTGAGCGAGCGTAATTGAAATCGAGCGCCGCAATTAAACGCCACGATCGCCGTAATACTTTCGATCATGCGCACCTCGCCGCCGCCGCCAGCTCTCGCCGCCTCAGCCCACTCGCCGACTAATGTTGATTATCATAATGGCTAATTTACCTACAGACTCTCTTTTCGCTTTTTTCAGCCCGGCGAAATTCTGCCCGCCTCCCGCCGCGTGTTTGACATGCTAATGTGCATGCTCGCCTCTCTCGCTCACGCGCTTCGTGTACTCCAATAAAAATTCACCTCTCACGCTGCCGCCGCGGATTGTCGAAATTGCGTTGGGAAAGTGCGCGCATGGATTAATAAAATTTATCAAAGTTGTAAAACGCCCGCTTATTTATTGCGCCAACGGGGTTGCGTAAAAAAAAATATATGTATATAAATACATATCTATGTATCCGTCGAATCGTTGCTCTATCCAGTCCGAGTCGTCGTGATTAGCGCAACGTCTGCGTACGAGCGTGACTCACTGCTCGACTCGCTCGCGAAAACCAAGCAAAGACAGGAAATAAAGAGAGCAACGCCCCGCGCGATCTTCGTTTGTCGCACAATGGATTGATAATATTGTCGCGCGCCGTGTGCGTTCTATCGCGATGCGCACGTGTCAGCCGCGCATCTCTGTTTTTGGATGGGCCTGTTAACGGCTGCGGTGCGAAATCGTCGCCGATTCGCTCGCACCGAGAAGCTTATTCACGGCGACTGTCAACGCCGCACGAGCTTTCGATAAAACTCGGCCGCCACATTATCCGTTGCTTTTGTACTCGCGGCGCGGGTAAATGGATCACTTGCGGAACTGACGCCGCAATGGGCCAGTGAACGTAGACATTTATTGCAATTAGTCGATTTATCCCGACGGTTGATCTGCCCTCTCTGTCCACGAGAAGAGTCATTCGAAAATTCTAAAGCGCAGATGGAAATGTACAGTTAGTTTTTAGCAGGCGCCGCATGTATTATTCATGCGTGGCAGTGATCGTGAAAGGGAGGCGAGTAGAGAGAAAAAGTGCAAGCCCAGCTTACCCAAACGACCTTTGACCATCAATATTCATGCAGCGAAGCTTAGGCATCAGGCTGTGCTCGAATCCCCCCCCCCCCCATGCGCGTACGTATTCGATAAGAATCAGAGTAAAAATAATCACTGCCGACTATTAGCGCTGAGCTGGCAGCAGCGCCGGCCGAGCTAACCGGGAAATTAGCCGCGGCGAAAAGCGCAAAAAGAGAAGCAGACAAAGACTCGGGGAAAAGAAAAGTGGACGTACGTGGCCTTGTCGCCGCAGCGAGGAGAGATAACGCGAAAGTCGAGAGCCCGCGAACAATTAACATAGTTCAGCGGCAGCGCGCGATCGACACACTTGGGCCAATTAGTTGCGCTTTTTTCTCGCTCTCGGCGGCCGGCAGGCCATCGAATAACGGCAACCGATGCGTGCGCGCGCAATTATTCGATCGCGCTCGCCGAGATCGATCCCCCTCGTTTTCGCGAGCCGACGACGCCGTCGCAGCCGCGCCACTTTCGCCAAACGAGAGCTCCGCGAACGTCGATTA